AACTGAATGGATTTTAATGAAACTTTCCAATAATTATCTGATAGCTAAGTATATAGCTTAACACATAAACTATAAATTTTACGCGAGCGAAACCGCAGGCACAGGTAATATGAGTATATTTGTTACTTTATTTATTACTAGTTACTCGCCTCGGCTTCGCCTGGGTGTTCATGTATTATATACATAAACCTTCCTCTAGAATCACTCAATCCATTAAATAAACCGCTTTAAAATCCGTTGCGTAGTTTTAAATATTTAAGCATACATATGGACGGACAGACAGCGACAGTGACTTTGTTTTATACTATGTAATGAAGATTTTATACATAATTATGCCTAGGATACAGAGGAAGATAAACAACAAACTCGTGGTCAGGAATACAAATTTTGTGTTGTACAGCAATCTAACCCGGAATCTATGCAATAATAACTTTTTATATTCCGTTTATTGCACTTGTAACTTAAAATAGTACATGAATATTAAAAATAATATGGGCAAGGGTGGGCTCTTTCAGAGGAAAGAGATCTTTTCCAACTTAACTTAACCTAACATTGTAACTTAGTTGGTAATGAGCGGGATTTTTAATCGATTTCAGATGTAAAAAATTGTATGTAATTAGAACAGTATTAAAAAGTTTATGAAAATGAATGTATTTTGTGCGTGTATGTGGCATAGTTTTTTATGGTTCTTGTTGTTAGAAAGTTTTTACGTACGTCTGTTAGTTATTTAATGCTATATAAGTAACTCTACTTAGCTCTGGACTGGCTGATGATATGCATATAAATATGCAATTAATTATTATTTGTTCTCAATATTAATCCAAGCAAAAAATTTTTTTTTTCAGTCATATATCTATATCCTTTCGGTTTCTGTCTCTATTTTTTACTTACTAACCCCGCCGATTGCGACTACAAATTGATAATATTTATTGTAATAAACTTAATATAAGCACTTTTGAATAGTTTTTTTTTTTATTCTAACATCACGTACTACTACTACTTTGATTGAGAAGAATTGGTAAGCTGACTGGTGTATTAGCCTAAACTTAATAAAGTAAGTTTTTTTTATTGTCAGTAGTATTCGAACACATGACCATTGAAGAATGTATCAGTGTAGTCAAAAACAAACTTCTGACTATAAGTTAATGTATTGTTATTTGGTAGTGTGTATTCATACATTTAAATTGAAAAATGTAAAATTAGAATATTTCTTAAAAGTGCAACACACAAGTTCCTTGCTCGTTCGTCTTGTCATAAGACAGCATTCCGAATGAACTATATAGGTAGATTATTTTTTTTAATCTACCTAGTTCAGGTATAAATAATTTAAATTTATTTGAATAACTAACTTTACTATTTCTATTGTTTTATTGTACAGATAGTGGTGACAAGTTTTATCCTCTCTCAATTTAGATTCGTAATATATATAGTATTGTTATAACAGTCGATTATAAATTATAATTTAATATAGGGTTTATTATTTATTAAGGAAAATAAATTATAATATTATAAGTAATATATTATAAATATATTTTTAATCGACATTTTGCTTGAGCCCAATATTGTTATTTCATTTTTTAATAGTTTATTAGACATATTTTTAATTCGACTCTTCCTTTTAACTGTAACTTTGTTACGACAAGTTATTTATAAGAAGTTAATTATATTCTTTGATTACAAACGAACTTTTTTTAATGGAAAGTACCTATTAGAGTTCAATAGTATTTAAGCATGGAAAATTGTAATGAAATATATGAATTTTCAAACATGGGAAGTTCGAGACCACGCGGAAGAGTTGTCAACGAGATGGTACTGGTTAATAAATATATTTAACATGAAATGGTAACTGTAAAAAAGTACACTTTTTTGTTACGATATTAGCAAATTGCTATTATAAGTACTTTAAGCATTTTACATAGTAATTCTCTTCTATTAATTCCTGTGCTCCTAAATAGTCTAAAAATTTATAAAATATGCAGTAATATTTCTTTTTTTACAGTAAAAAATTTAACATGTATATATTTTGATCTAAGTACTTATTCATAATATATTTATGTTTATCTATTTTAAGTAAATTGCAACATAGATTTAAATCAATAAATGAAGTTATGATCGCCGTAATTAAAAAAGTTAAATTAAAAATTATTTGTTATTAAAAAATATTCCATTTGTAAAATTAGTGCATTCAACAATATGGCCGCCTTGTTGTTATAATTCGTGTACTTTTATATCTTTTTAAAAATTTTCTTTTCTTCACTGCACGTTACAAATACTGTATATTATACCCAAAACGAATATATGTTAAAAATTTTATTTGTACGTTCGTGCACTCTAATCTCAGAAACGGCTTAACCTATTTGGGTGGCGTTTTCAATGTACTATGGTAAGTTTTATTTAATATTATGTATTTGTTTAATCAAATAAGTACCCAAAAATATCAATTCCAAAAGGAATATTAATAAAATTAATCTATTCATAATTCCATACAGATGACTCTATAGCTACATATTAATTTAAATATGTATGTTTTATGTATTTAACATCACGGATTAATCCTATTGATTTATGTCATATTTATAACCGCTTTATATGACCATTCAGAAATTCCTTACAGATTAGTGTTAAATGTAAATACAACATAATATGCTATTAGGTTATAAATTCTTTTAATTTATATTAAGTTTATTTGTATAAAGATTATTTGTATTTCTAAGAAATTGAAAATAAACTAAAACTTGTATTAATATTACACATACCTATTCACTTGTAGCTTTATTGGTATCTATTCATTGGTTATTAGTATTAAATGTTGATTTATTTTCATAGCAGAAGTGGCAAAATAAATATAATTGGGCTTCACAGTATTATCAAGTCCATGGTGTTACGTCTTTATTTAATGATTACCATTTCCTGGTATATATATAACATCAAAATAAAATTATATAGATATAGTTGGGGTAATTCAATTGCTAAATTGGACTTTCAAAATTAAAAATATCTTTATTCATGTAGGTCTATTACATACTCTTATGATATGTCAAATCTACCGTCAGTTCGGAATGATATCGAGATGAGAAGAACTGACAAGAAACTCAGCTTGTATTCTTTTCAAATAAATGTTATCCATATTTAAAATAATACAGATTCATTTAATAGAGTGACCACTAGCTTACGCTATTACTTACACTCAATTCCATTTTATATGACTTTATTATTAGTATTTATGAGTTAAGTATTAATTAATATTAATATGAATACTGCTTGCTAACAATAAGTTTGCACATAATAATATTGTAACTAACCATCGCGATGACTGCGAAAAGGGATGAATGGAAGCGAAAAACATAATACGCCGACCCCAAATAAATGGGATAAGGAAGAAGCAGATGATGAATATTCTAACTAGCCGATGTCATGACAATTTTTATGAGAGGAACAGAAGCCAAACAAGGGTTTCTTTGAATTTTAACCCGTCTGTCCGTCTGGAATATCAGATAGTTTCCTACGGTAAAACTTTAACAGTCCTCAACAACAGATCCCAGTTTTAGCGTAGGAAACTATCTGATATTCCTACGGTAAAAAAGAATTCATCAGAGACAAAGGTGGTTCGGTTATTTGGAAAAAAAAAACAATTCCGACTGATTTAAATTTCTAGTCCAAAACTACTGCATTTTCGACAGAAGCCTAGATTGGCCACTTTATAATTCTTAAGTTTTTTCTCAAAAATATAAGAATTTTGTAAGAAGTGAGAAGTGTGAGACGTTTTAATTGTCACAGTAATTATATCACAGAATATATTCGTTTGTTATATAATAATAATCTAATTGTTCTTATTATCTTTTGAAGTAAGGGTTACAATTTTACCATAAGGCTAATTAAGGTTAATTAAGTGGGTAGATAGCTATTATATGTGCCGGGAAATGTCTACCTACCAGTAAGAACACTTTTGTGTAGGTATGTTTTACATTTATGCGTTTTTCATATTGAGTTCATTCGGATGTATGAACTCGACTACCATATTTTCTATAATATTAATCCTTAATGACGTGCATTAAGGAATTGAAAATAAATAAAAAGTAGTTCAAAAGTGTACTCAGTTTAATTTTGAGATATTTGTTATTGCTAATTCACTATTACTATAATATATGTATAGGCATAGGTAGTTAAGTATATAAATTAACTATTATGTACTCAATTTTATACATATTCTATATGCAGATTAATTAAGCATATAAATGCATGGTTAAATAAAAACTATTACATTACCATGTCATGATGTTTACATTAAATATTATAATATTTAACATCATTCCGTCCATTGTCGGTATAGGACACTGTTTTTTGTCAAAATATAATTTTCAAACAATAATTTATCTATTTACTTATGATTTAACTATTTTACAGCTTATAATTATTTATTAGGTACGTAATAGATACATTATAGCAATATGTTTATAAAAGTTAAGACTTCCGTTACACCTACAAAAGCTTTAAACCTAAATGTTCACCTACCCACTCTGAATACAAATTTTGTCGGCGCAATAAAAACGCAACGGACATTCATGTATGGAACATAAATTCTGGTAATTCCCGGGAAAGACTTAAAACGTGCTTGTACTGCAACACGGCTTCGAAGGGCTCCCGTCGTCGAAGGGATTTCTTTGTTTTTAAACATACAAAAAGTCAGCCCCATCTCATTCTAAACGAAGCAGGTACAAAGTATGCACGATGGACCACATGTTGAATGCTTTTGCTAAAAGGAAAACTTGTCACTTCGCCCGAAAAGAGATTCACAAAAATCTGACGGAATGTGGATGGATTTTTATACCAAAATTGTTACAGGTCATACCGGACTATAGGCTATTTTGAAAATGTCTAAACTCTAATTCTAAGCATAGTATTTGTTATTTGCACTTTAACTATTTATAAATATGTTTGTTAATTATATAATCTTAACCTACATATATTGCTAGTATTTTTTTATATATTTAAAAACTTACTTGTAATCTATCTTGACTTCTCAGGTCATCTTGTGTCATACTATATCGGAGCGGTAGCAATCCATTCGCATAATAATAAATACAGCACAGAACACATGCTCACTTGTCAATTTTACTTAAAAAAAAACTTTTATGCACACGAAAAAATCTTAATCGAATATCCAGTCACCACACTTGCACTTAAAACGTCAACAGTCACAGCTTTCATTAAAAAAATATATGCGATTGTTTATTAAAAATAACAAATGTAAGCGAATCGAGACGACGTGCACCGCCAACGCGGTACCAACGGATATAGCAAGCAATAGCGGGTGGACTCGATCCCAACGCGCCGTTGGCGATTTCATCTCAATCTCGCCCGTCAGAACGGGACAGTAACATGACAATAAACGACTGTAAAATGTCAGGAGCGAAAGAGACGGCAGTTTTCTCATTATGCGCGCGTAGAACCTGACATTTCAATTGCGGCGTCCTGCTCGCACAGAAAGTTATTTCCTTACAAATATGCGGGCGTATTTGTTCTCTGTCTCGCTCTGGCGTGGATAGTGCTAACCAGATAATGTCTTAATCGCATTTTCTTAGCGCTATACTGACTGATGCACTAACATAAACAATGATAATTCATGGATTTGCATGAACGCTAAATGGTTTTTTATGGATTCGACTATGACAGAATGAATCAGGAATTTGTGGGGGGTCTGAAGTTATTTAAATGAGAGTAATAGCGACTCATTAAATGGAAGATAAAGTGAACTGTTGAGCTAAAAATATTTGCATCTTTATGTTGCGAAGAAAAATCAAATTAGCAAAGTATGTATATGCTAATTTGAATAGACTATTTCTTAGCACAGATCAAAGTTGTTCGAACTGAAACAAATATATAATATAATGTTGGTATGCATATAAGTGGAAAATCAGTAAGTTTTATAAGTTGAGATATTAATATTAACGTGTATATGTCTTAACTTATAATGTCTTCAACATATGAGGAATACATTACCTGCATACGTCTATTCAGATAACATAGGTAATAAGAGTGCACGACTTAATAGAGATATGTGTAGAAAAAACGAAGTAAGTGGCATAATGCACTAGTCTCGTCATACAAAATATTTGATCTATCATAAAAAACTTAGCTTTTGAACAATAAACGGCAGCCGCTTACGAGAGCAAACAGTAAAAGCTTCATTGACTACGGTTAGATTACCTACAGCAGTTAAATAAAGCACATCGCCTCTTAATTAAAACCAAACAATTCGGATAGCAGTGATTTCTAGTTGAATTTAAATAATGTATTTCAACTTCCGGAATGTGGTATTTAGAGCAGTCAAAATGGAATGTACTAAAAAAATAGTGTAGATAAAATGCACTGATTGTTTATTCACAAACAATGTTATAGATATTGGTGATATTAGTAAATATGTACGAATAACTTAGTACGGTATGTTAGTACCAGGTATGCTAGTATCTTTACATAGTAAAAAACAAAGTCGCCGCCTCTGTCTTGTCTCTTATGTCTTTAAAATTACGTAACGGATTTTAATGCAGTTTTCAGAAATAGATAGAGTGCCTCAAGAGGAAGGTTTGTATGTATAATAATTCATGTTATAGTACAGAACTGTAGTATTTTTAATATAAATGAAATAAAATGTGCACTTTATAATATATATTTTAATTACCTGAAGTAATCACGTTTACAGCACAGAGTATAGATCGGAAAAGGGGAGAGCTTTTTAGTTTTTTATTTTACATTACAAATTAGGTTGCGTTCCATTTCACATCAAGAACAAACAGAGAAATTCAAAGATGTGTAATTCATCTGTGCCGGACGGGTCGCTAGTAAGGTATAAAGAGGTAAAGTTTGTGAAAATGTTCGGGATAATCTCCGGTACTGCTGATCCGACTTTAAAACTTCTTATAGTGTTGGAAAGCTATCGAGAAAGGTATAGACAATGAAAAATAAAATAAATAGTTACAATGAAAAATATTTCAAAACGGGGTAAACGTAACTTGAAACATTTTGTTGTTTCTGAAGCGTTAAGAATGTTATAAGAAATAGCTTTAATAAGTTATATCGAGCACAAAATCAGGAAGGAATCAGGAATGATTTAAAATGTATGTATACTTAATCGCTACTACTGATAATTTGTAAAAACAAATATAGCTTCCATAAAGCTGTTCAAATTATCGCTGACATTTAAAAAAAAAACAATAGTAATGGATACAGATATTCAATTAAACTACGACAACTTTTAAAATCTCGGCAAGCAAATTCATACAATAATTTATATCAATATGAAGTACAATGTCACATTACAAGTTAATTAAGTACCTAACTTATACCGAACTTGCTCCATTTAGCCATTTTAAGTTCTTGAAATGGTCGATTAACTGAATGCATTTAACATTTCAAGCGAGTTGTACATGGACTGGAATAAATTTAATGTCGCATACAATGTTTAAATGGAAGGACCTGATAATTATCTATTTGTGAAGTGATGTGTAAATACTCACGACTGCATGTTTGAGGTACTGACTACTGCGCAAATGTTTGTTCAACGTTGACAGGGCGCTGACGGCTCAAGCAAGACACTCTTCTGGGAATCCATACAAAAATTCCTTGTGCACACAGAAGCTGGTCTATTTCACGTAATAGGTTCGTGTTGAAACTGGATTGGATTCGAATACGGAGGCTTTCCGTTTGTTTGTTTATTTGTGAGCTCGTGAACTATTATTGTTGGAAAGCCTCTAGTAAATTTCAAAGTAATACTCAACGCGTAATACTATAGGCTGTGTAATATCTTATCTGTGCTATAGACAACATGGAATATAGCTATAGAGCTGTAAAATTTAAATTGACTACCGTAAATTCATCCTGCAACCTGTATCTCTGTATATGGTTGTTAATAGAATACCTTCTCGAGTAAAAAATCTCAATTCTACATACTATAGCTTACAAAGGAATGTCGCTGTCAACGAAGTGCGTGAAATCGCGTCACCCGCAAAAGGTTACAGAATGAATCATGCATTAGTTACATGAAGAGTCTTCGAAAACTAACGTAGAGTGCATTGCATGTCTTAATGCACTTCCAACAAAAAGAGAAACACACATCTCGTATCGATAGAACGTGACAGTAACATCTTCACGAAAACATGTTAAACAACCTAACTTGTTAATCCGATCACGTGATTTCCGTCTGTAATTCATAAGTAACTAAAGTTCATTCTACTATAAAATACGACTGTGAAGGATTTCAGAATCGAACCCGTTTTTGGTACAAATGAAATGCACCAAGAAAAGGGACGGGGCTACAAAAAGCAATCGCGGTAAAGCAACTAAACTCGAAAGCTTAAAGGACTTGTGCTGTATTTTGTTTTGTACGAGCGAGATAACTTGATCAGTCTCACAATTCACCAAACATCACAATAACCGAGATGTGAACATATTAATAAATCTATTCTCAGTGGAATATGAATTAAAGTTGCATTCAAAGAAAAATCTTAAGCCCTTTCGTGCCGCTCAGAACGTAAAAAGAACAATTTACAAGTTCGTCTGGCGCAAAGTGGGACGGAGGATATATTCGAGCACGTTAGAAAGGGACGTCAAGTAAGCGGTCCGAAGTTGGAGGCTGTGTATTTTTTCTGAGTTATTATGCCGGTTTCGATCTTTAATTAAGACATTTTGTGCATTTATAATGAAATAACAACATGAGTCAACGTTACCGACACCTCGAAATGCTCGCCGTAAAGTATTTGACCTAAGAGGTAGAATGAGTTATCTATACTTAAGTGGTTTTTATTTTTGAGAATAATTTTTATGAGCCCGCTCACACTGATGCAGCTCTAAAAAATATTGCGGTATTTTTAAAAATTATTGTTTGTCCACTGTAACTTTAGGAAGATTTAATGAGTTCAGAATATTATTGTTTATTTTTAAATCACATACACGAACACATATATATGTCCCCTAAGAACAGTTATGGCGAATTCACCAGGAATTAAATCCTGGTGAATTCACCATGATGGGCTAACTGATCCGATTTCATCCGTCACTGGTATACAATGGTATACCGTTAGCGCAAAAAGGTGCACCATTTTTTTGAGGGTTTTAGTCTACTGTCAGGTGCTAGACCTGTAGCATAGCCACCTACATAGATCTATTGTGCTTGCCCTTTTTCATGGTTCACCTAGACTTGGTTTTTATCGGCTCAAGATAGAGTGTATATTTTCCACAGGAGATATTTCGTTTATGCATGAGCAGGCTACAACCACATAGAAAAATGCAGCATATCATTTGCTTTGTTAGTTATGTTTGGGTTAAGATGAGGCAGTGAAATTATTGAATATGGAGGCATGACATCTCAATACTCCGGAATGGCAACGCCTGAGAATCACGGGCGTGACATGATTACGTATTATCTGCGATGATGTTATTTTTATTTGGGAGGTTTCGGCTATAGTCAGGTGCTTGGACTACTTCGCTACGTAGACCCATCAGGGATAAGAATTGAAGGATATTCTTAGGAGCGGTGGTTTTAAACTCCTTAGGATAGAGTGTAATCTTTCCAAAGGAGATATTACGTTCATGCATGAGTGGGCTACAACCACATAGGATGTGTAATGGCGTTTCCCTTTCAGTTTAGCAAAATCTGCAGATTTTTGTTATGCACAGGCCTAGGTTTGCCATGTGTTTGTTCAATTTTCTTTTGAGGGTCGTAGTCATGATGCATATGTTGTTTTTACTTAATAGCAATAGTCTATTGGAGTATTTGTTCGAGTAGCCCTATATTAGGGCTTTAGAATGTACAAATCCTGCGATTTCCGATGATGTTAACATCATGTGGACAGCTAGCTTGCCATTCCAGTTAAATAAAAAAGAAGGGTGAACAACATGGAAGTTAACCTAACATCATACATCGCTAACAATGGAATTATTGTTCCCATTACTGACAACCCCCTCCCTTTCCCCTAGGAAAGGAACTGGCGACATATCTGTAACTATTTACATGTAATTAGATAAACGTGTGAAAGAAATAAATCTATCAAAAGCTTAGTATACAATTTTATGTGTTTACAAGGTGTAGTTATAACACCTGCAAACGAGCTGATTAGCAGATCCAAGTTCGCGATTATAAGCAAAAAATCGTGGGATTGTTTATACAATTCGTATTTCATAACAATCATAATATTTGATTATTAATCGTGTTATGTGGTATTTATATTACGGTCGAGTTGTTTAGAATAGGTGGAAAATTATATAAGTATAATGTAGTTATTT